GTATTACAACGACTTTAAATTTGAAGAAATACACTTCAGTGTTACTTAGATACACTTGATGTCTACTTTACATAATATGTGAATAGTAGTCGTATACTTAAATCGTTATAGTAAAAAAAAATAGTGCTGGTAAGCCTAAATTTAGCAGAAGTTAATGAATACGACGTTATCTTTTCCAAGCGTAAAATACACATTTTAAACTATACGTTCAAGTAACAAATACGCAATAGTCAATATATTATTTAGTGCATTAAACTATCTATTAAAACGTATATGCATGATAAAATGTATTATTCAAAATATTTGCATAATTGATAAACAATTAATACACAAAATAATAGATAGTTAATGACCTATCTAAAAAAAATCTCATTTACCGTTCTTCATTGATCTCACTATGACTTTTCTTAGAGTCAGGTAGTGGCATAGCGATTAAGTAACTAGAGAACCTCTCGACATTTTCGTAAGTTACCAGAAGGTGGTGGGCGAAGTTACTGCTCATTTTTGAGGCCTGCGGATCAAAGGTTGAAATTAATTTAAACACAACCAAAATGTTTTATTATAGTTGTATTAGTTTTAATTAAATAAATTAGTGTGTATTAATAATTGCAACACTTGACAAATTTTGCTTAAACTACAAAACTATGCGAAGTTAAATAAAGAAAAAGTCATAGTTGATTCTATATTTACATACCTGAAGTCAAATAACTCAGTAATCAAAGCTGGTAAATCAAGGAGACTGCTGGGATAAAATTTTTCCAAACTTAATCTTCTGCTAGTACTCAGAGAATTCGAATGATAGGTTCCCTGTTGCTTGGACTTATTTAAAGCATCTACCTTCTGCTTTTAGTGTTAGCACGCTTCATTCTGATTGGTCGTCTAGTTTTTGTTTGTTTGTAGTTGTGTTTATAGTGTTTGTTTACACAGGCGGCGAGGAAAGAAAAACAAACGTGGCTGACCGACAAGTTACCCGATCGGGTAGTGTCAACAAATGACGTCATCCGATCGGGTGGATGCATGCTCCGTGACGTTATTTTCTTTACCGTATTGTCAGTCGTCCGTGGATGGTCGCATGTCAAGCGTGAAGTCATTGAATACACACGTCTCACCTTTTCCACCTATTGTTGTCACGTGATATCTCTAAGGTTAATTAGCCTTATTCAAAAATATTTATAGCAAATCATTTGACGCATTGTTTACGTTTTCACTACACATTTACACCTCAGGTAAAAATACAATATATCCAAATTTTCAGGCTAATTGAATATTAGAATATTAATTAAAGAACCTCTAAAAGCTACGCTATTTAAGACAAAGCAGGTTGAAATTATTTAACCTAAGGGGGAATCAAATAAGTGTGTGATTGGTGTACTGAAGCTAATGTGGATAATAAACAAGAGGAATTATTATTGGCCCCTAGAACCTTTCATACGATAAAAATTAAAATTATACTTTTTTTCATTTTACATTATGTGTACTTCAATGTTATTTTCATAACGGTTTTAAGATCCAAGTTGTTAAACCTCTCAGTTTGTCCTTCGTTCTGTAGCGTAGTGGTTGCTACAATTCATATGAGTTTCCAGACTCGGCAATACATAAAATAAAATAAAAAAAAAACCCTAACTTATCCTGCTGATTTTTAGGCAGTGAAGTTTAAACGTTCAACAGATGGCTCTTCGCATAAATTTCCATCTTTTTGCTGCTCAATGCATAAAATTGTATGAAATCCTTCCCCGCTCTTCAAATCCAATGACGTTATTTTAGGGTGGGGGATGTTTGAATTTTTGTGACGATGTGTGACGTAGGGGGGGGGGGTAAAAAATGGCCAAAAAAGCGTGACGTCATTTATGGACGACCCCTTAGTTATAACAAAAAATTAGTTAAATAAATAAAACAGTGTATAATGTTATTAATTTTGCTACTTTTAAAAAAGTAGCAGCATGCTCTAATTATAAAATTTTAAAAATACGGGTTGTTGTTGAAGAAAAAGTTATATGTTAATAAAAAAAATTGTATGTTAAAAAAAGTAATATGTTAATAAAAATGTTATTTGTTTATAAAAACGTTATATGTTAATAAATAGGTTTAGTATATGACGTAACTAAACTGACCGGTGTAAAACAATTTTTTTATGTACACTTTTTAATGTTGCCATATGTAGATGTGACGGAACAATTTGCAGGCTGACAATGTTAGGACTATAGTCCAACTAATATATACAACTAATTTATACAACTAATAGATTAGTTAATAGGTTATATACAATTACTATATACAATTAATATATACAACTAATAGATGTATATACAACTAATATATACAACTAAGTTATATAGCTAATAGATGTATATACAATTAATATATACAACTAAGTTATACAACTAATAGATGTATATACAATTAATATATACAACTAAGTTATACAACTAATAGATGTATATACAATTAATATATACAACTAAGTTATATAACTAATAGATGTATATACAATTAATATATGCAACTAAGTTATACAACTAATAGATGTATATACAATTGATATATACAACTAAGTTATACAACTAATAGATGTATATACAATTAATATATACAACTAAGTTATATAACTAATAGATGTATATACAATTAATATATACAACTAAGTTATATAACTAATAGATGTATATACAATTAATATATACAACTAAGTTATATAACTAATAGATGTATATACAATTAATATATACAAATTAGTTATACAACTAATAGATGTATGGACTAGATAAAAATAAAAATATTTTAACCATCCGCGACCACATATTTAACTCACGGCGTGGCACATTGTTCCCTTATACAATTTTGAGATTAGGGTTTTAGTAAACTTTTGTAGTTGTTTTTTTTTTATATTTAAAGACGTTTCTCATTCTTCCCAAACATTTAAAATAAATGGTACAGTACAAATTATTATTGATTTATTAATGACCATCTGTCAAAAGGCTCAGGGGACACAATTGTGCTAAAAGGCTCAGGGGACACAATTGTGCTATTACTATTGTAGTCTTGCAATAAAGCGACTCTCTCCCAACTGTAATATTTGCATTCATTGGACTTTTTGCAACTAGCATCAAGTTTGCTTTAAGTTAAGATAAAAGTTTGCAGCTATTTTGTTTTTAATTTCATATTACAGAATTAAATAAAAGTTGAATGTTGAGATGCTTGTGTCAGATTTGGACTCTATTTGCGCAAAAACTTTTTTTTTTCCCCGGTCAATTACCAAACGTGAATATCTGGAGCGGATGATGTCGGGGTTTGACTGTCCGATCATATGTTTGGGGCCATCGAACGAAGGTACGCTCCATTGTGTAGTGTGGCGACCACAGTTTATGTGTGTGGGAGTGAAGACTTCACGCTTTCTATTCCATGTTTCACACATAGAGACGGTATCGCCTGCCTTGCTAGATGTACACCCAACAATGTTAGTGTTAGACAAGGTACCCCGATTGTAGGGGGGGGGGTGGTCCATTAATGACTTCACAATCGTAGGGGGGATGGGGTTCCCTAATTTTGTGACAGTGTGTGATGAGGGGGAGGATGGTTTCAGATAGTGTGACGTCACAATTTTGCATTTTTAAAAAAAAGTAGTGTTAAAAACGAATTTTAGTCGCAATTTCGCGTTTTGTAAAATTGTTGTATTAGAAATTGATTAAATTACTTTATGTTGATTAAGCTCAGTCAATATTTTTAGAAAGAAATCGATGTTTTAACAGAAGACTCAAGAAAAAAACAACCTCTTATTTAATTTACTTTATTTTTTTTATATATTTGTGTATCTAAGTTAGGGCTTAGCGTAATAAAGGAAATCATTGATCTTGCTTTTTGTAAGGATGTGTGGCGGAATAGAAAGGAGTGGGGGTTGGGGGCGGGTGGAGGTAAAACTAGTCAAATAAGCATGTCGTCATATATGGATGACCCCAGTAAACTCTGAACTCTGATTTGTTTGGTACTTGTATATGTTGCAAAATCTTCATCTGGTAAATACCCAGTTATGAATTATTTACGTTGTCAAATACATATATGCTGTTTACATTTTAAGAGGTGTTCTTGTTTTTTGTGGTTACAGAACAATACATTTCGTGTTTGTAATCCTTTACTATTGAGCAAACAAAAAATACTAAGTCACCATTGGGTACCTGGCTCTGATTGGCTGTAGTCTGAAGGTCACCATTGAGTACCTGGCTCTGATTGGCTGTAGTCTGAAGGTCACCATTGAGTACCTGGCTCTGACTGGCTGTAGTCTGAAGGTCACCATTGAGTACCGGGCTCTGATTGGCTACAGTCTGAAGGTCACCATTGAGTACCTGGCTCTGATTGGCTATAGTCTGAAGGTCACCATTGAGTACCTGGCTCTGATTGGCTGTAGTCTGAAGGTCACCATTGAGTACCGGGCTCTGATTGGCTATAGTCTGAAGGTCACCATTGAGTACCTGGCTCTGATTGGCTGTAGTCTGAAGGTCACCATTGAGTACCTGGCTCTGATTGGCTGTAGTCTGAAGGTCACCATTGAGTACCTGGCTCTGATTGGCTGTAGTCTGAAGGTCACCATTGAGTACCTGGCTCTGATTGGCTACAGTCTGAAGGTCACCATTGAGTACCGGGCTCTGATTGGCTATAGTCTGAAGGTCACCATTGAGTACCTGGCTCTGATTGGCTATAGCCTGAAGGTCACCATTGAGTACCTGGCTCTGATTGACTACACGAGTGCGGATATCAAACACTGACACAAAAATGACCACATAGTAACTTCACAAAATACACATAATTTCTACTTCACCTGCTTTTATCGACAACCAGGATTAGGTATGTAGACTACTACTTCAAGCTACAATAATTTACCTAATTCTTAGTGAATAATTAGAACTGCTCGTAATATTTGTGTTGGTAGAAATAAAAAAAAACAAATATCATATAAATAATTGAGAATATCTTTTAATATCATTTAATTAAAACTATACAACCCTTTAAGTAAAACAGAATAATTAAAGAGCCTGCGTGTCATACAAGTTTGTCACATGTTCTATTTAATAAGACAATTCAAATATGTAGGCTAGTTCTGACTAAAAGTAATGCTTTTAATTTTACAAAATGTGTAGAGATAAATGTATAGAATTAAATGTAAAGAATTATATAAAGCAAATGTTTCCAATTTTTTTTTAGAATATAATAAAATATTAAAATGGTTATAAACATTTCAAATTACCCTCTTTTTTAAAAAAATAAACGAAGTTTTTAATATTTTAATTAAGCACAAATATAAATATTGTATCACATTAATGGGTTTAAATGTTATCACCGACAGAAAGATTCTCCTTTAAAGAAACAGACTGGATCTTCCTTGTTTGAGTTGTTGTAAGTATTTACGATTACTAAACACATTTTACAAAAAAGATAAATATTACTATAAATACCTGTTTACTATAAATAACATAGAACAGCAGCAACCAAGAACATACTTAAAGTGGTTTTAGTTCCAATGTTTTTGCTGTGTTTTGATTGGCTGTCGTCTGTTGTTGTTGCTGTGGGTGGTGTTGTGACGCTGTGTGTGGTAGTGGCTGCGGAGGTTGGATGTTGTATGGTGGAAAGATCAACACATTCGCCATTGACAATCACCATGTAATCGTGTTTACAGCAAATCGTATTGCTAAAACCACCACAGTGTTGTTTGTCGTAATTTAAACTCAACTGATCACCCGTACCACAGATGTCGCAGGACTCACACTTGCCGTCGCATGTGCTACCAGAAATAGACCTGAAGAACCCATACTCACACATGATCTCACTGTCTCTTGTCGATGTACAATTAGCGTTCTTAATTTCATACTGCAAGAAAATAATATAAACTATTGAGTTAAAAATAATAATTTGAGCTCCCATGTTCTTTTTTATCTCAAATTTAAGTCAAAAATTTACAACCGAGAAGTCGCTTACACCAACAGAGAGAATTTATTTGTTTCAAAATTGTTTAACTTTATTTTGAAAAGTACGACTTTAGTCGAATTTAAATAATTCTTTATTTGCAATTAGTTAAATCCAAAGCTAAGTCAAATCTTCGCAATTTCCAACTTTAAACGTATTCTATTGTTTTTAAGCTCCACATGAAGATATCAGACTTACCTGAACGGGTTCCAGACATTTCTCACACGTCCCAAACCCACGTTCAACCATCAGCTTGGTCACGAAGGTGTCTGGAGGACATGGTAGACACGACTGTGTTTTGACGTCTTTAAACTGACCAGCATCACAAGAGCTTATTGGTCCTGGTGTCTGTTGGGGTGGGGGTCTGGACGGGATGTCAGGGTCACAGCCCGTCCCACGGGCAGACCCCAGGGTAGAGACCACCAGCATCACACGAAGAAGTCCACTGAGTTCATTCATTCTTATTTTCTTCTTCTAAACGAGGCATCTTTAAACGAACGAAAATAGTTTGTAAGTAAATAGCAACACATCTTGCATGGGCTAATTGAGAATATTTTTTTTGTTTTTAGAAATAGGTTTTAACTGACTTAAACATAATTGACCACAAAAATGTACCCAACCACAAATAACCTACCAAAGGAACATAATGTGTGACTTTTTATAAATAAAACAAGTTTATACATTTTATAACATCATTCTTATGATTGCAATAAAAATAAGAAAATTAACACGCATGTTATTGAGTTGAAATCTTATGATATAAAAGTACATGTTCTCTCTTTCTCTGGCTGTCACCATTTCTTCTGAGGTTATGAGATCATTATCTTCAGCAATATATATATATATATATATATATATATATATATATATATATATATATATATATATATATATATATATATATATTTCACAGTGTGTTGAGTGTTACTAAAAATGTTAATTCGTAGATATGTGGTTTTTGAATTGGTAGCTTATAATGAATAGACCAGGAAGCAAACGTAGCTGAGACATGGCTTTGAATGAAACAACAAATCAATATCAAATATTTAAACTTTAAATGTGCTAAATATAATTCTAAATAACTGTAAAATTAAAGACAATGTAATGCAAAATTAATGTAGATGCCTATTTTATCAGCGTCTTACCGGTATAAAAGTTGATGTCATGGTCTCATTTCAATCCACCAATGACATTCCAAACGTTCTTGATATTTAGAACGTACGTCACTAGCACAGTGACGCAATTCACCTGCCGTGTTGATTTTTTTGAACTTTCACTTCAAATATTGATTTATTGATTTGTTGTATGTGTCAAACACCAATTTGCTTTAAAGTATTATCGTCGCTCGTAGTCCGTCCTAAAAACACGGTCAAGATCGACAGAAAAACAAGTTTGGAGTTCTACGTCAATAAGTTACGTGAGGTAATAATCACATAAAGACAAGGAAAACAACAAAGAAAAGTAAAGACCTAAGCGATATTTAATTTTCAAGAATTAATTATTTGGAGCCGGACATAATCGATAATCTTATAAACACTTCTAAAAAATGGAAACAAGTAATTGGGTGCATTAGATTCACTAAACACGATATACCGTTTGTTTTAGTGCTGATTCAAAATATTTTCTGTGAAAACGAAACAAAACACTAAACGGCAAGAAACAATATCAATTGGGTCTCTTTCCTAGAAGATTACGTCGTTACTTCAACCACCCTACCTCCCCCTCTCTACTACCCCCTACCTGAATTTACTGTGTAGTAGAACTGTGATCCAGTTTTCACCTTGTACACATGTGTGTAGAGAAAGTACATACAAAGTGTATTTGACATTCTCATGATCAGGCCAACTGTCCTGTATTGAGTCTATTCGTTATGGGGGTATTGATTTCAGCCTACAGGACAATGTGTCTTGGACGTTATGTCCACATAGTAAAATATTGAATCGTTTCACTATTGACTGTGAGGTGGTGGCGTGGGCATGTGTGAGGTGGTTGTTTTTTTTTTGGGGGGGGGGGGTTTACCCCCCTCTCCCAAATTGACTTCCAAATAAAAATTATCACTACATACTCCTTCTACTTTATGCCTATGGTTTATTAATTTATATAACAATTTTACGTTTTATACAACCAGTCTCTAGTTATGAGCCTATTTATATGTGAGGTAAAAAAAATCAACCCCCCACCATGACCAATAGCTGCCTACGCCACTGGATTGAGGTAATGCCAGTTCCAATGTCAGGGACAACTCTCTTCCTATTTCGGACACAAGGGTACCAACTAACGATAGCACCTCCAGTGTACCAACTAACGATAGCACCTCCAGTGTACCAACTAACGATAGCACCTCCAGTGTACCAACTAACGATAGCACCTCCAGTGTACCAACTAACGATAGCACCACAAGGGTACCAACAAACGATAGCACCTCAAGGGTACCAACTAACGATAGCACCTCAAGGGTACCAACTAACGATAGCACCTCAAGGGTACCAACAAACGATAGCACCTCCAGTGTACCAACTAACGATAGCACCTCAAGGGTACCAACAAACGATAGCACCTCAAGGGTACCAACTAACGATAGCACCTCAAGGGTACCAACAAACGATAGCACCTCCAGTGTACCAACAAACGATAGCACCTCCAGTGTACCAACAAACGATAGCACCTCCAGTGTACCAACTAACGATAGCACCACAAGGGTACCAACTAACAATAGCACCACAAGGGTACCAACAAACGATAGCACCTCAAGGGTACCAACTAACGATAGCACCTCAAGGGTACCAACTAACGATAGCACCTCAAGGGTACCAACTAACGATAGCACCTCAAGGGTACCAACTAACGATAGCACCTCAAGGGTACCAACAAACGATAGCACCTCAAGGGTACCAACAAACGATAGCACCTCCAGTGTACCAACTAACGATAGCACCTCCAGTGTACCAACTAACGATAGCACCTCAAGGGTACCAACTAACGATAGCACCTCAAGGGTACCAACTAACGATAGCACCTCAAGGGTACCAACAAACGATAGCACCTCAAGGGTACCAACTAATGATAACATCACAAGGGTACCAACAAACGATAGCACCTCAAGGGTACCAACAAACGATAGCACCACAAGGGTACCAACTAACGATAGCACCTCAAGGGTACCAACTAACGATAGAACCTCGTGTTACAGCTGCCTTAAGTCCTTCGACAATGTAGAGCAGAAAAACAAATGGGGTTAGAGAGCAGGCACTGGTTCCACGGCAAAAGTTGTATGCCACCCAACAGAATTTTTTGTGACATCACACTATAGACACATGCCAGTCACAGTTTTTGTACTGTGTACTCTAGCAACATGCCTGCCATATTTACTGTGTACACTAGTTACATGTCAGCCATACTTTATGTACTGTGTACTCTAGCTACATGTCAGCCGTACTTTGTGTACTGTGTACTCTAGCTATATGTCAGCCATATTTACTGTGTACACTAGTTACATGTTAGCCATACTTTGTGTACTGTGTACTGTAGCTACATGTCAGCTATATGTCAGCCATATTTACTGTGTACTCTAGCTATAACGAGACGGAGTGTTCTAACGGTAGAGAGCTGGACTGCTAACCCGTTAGTCTCGAGTTCGAATCCGGGTTCAAGTCAGTAATCCGTCCCTGAGTCCACCCAACTCTGATGGGTACCTAACTCACGTTAAGGAAAGTAAAGACGGCTGGGCATAGTGCTGACCACACTATCTCTTCATATGCCGAGGTCACTGAAAAAAGTGAACTCTACTTCATTTGCCCATAGACCTCAGGTTTGAAAGGGAAACTTTACTTTACCTTAATCTAGCTATATGTCAGCTAGTTTTACTGTGTACTCTAGCTATATGTCAGTCATACATCTAGTATTGTGTACTCTAGCTATATGTCAGTCATACATGTAGTATTGTGTACACTAGCAAGGAGCCGAGTACATCAAACACACGTTACTGTCTGAATCTGTGTAAGACAATTACGCTGCCGATAGATTGATATTAATTTGTAAAGATCTTTACTTAAATTAAAACACAGATAGTCACATACGCCATCCTAACCTTTATTGACATACACACGCCAATTTTCTCTGGGCGACCACACAAAGAATAAATTAAAACAATAGCATTTTTATTTTTACTCACATTAATTCAAAGCTACACATAGTCAATTTGACGGTGTGTACAAAACTAAAGGTTTTGTCCCACCAAGTAAAGTCCACACACCTACAGAGACTAGTTGCCAAACCAGCTAGAGTCGACACACACACCTACTTCAATGTAGTCTAAAAAAAAACAACACACAATAAAACTGCCAGCTACACACAGACTTACTTCAATGTAATCTAAAAAAAACAACATACAATAAAACTGGCAGATACACAGAAAGCTAGATGCCTCTCATGATAGGGCCTACAAATCGTCAATCAAAAGGCACTAAAACTACGTCAATTTTATCTACAGTATATACACATGTTTCTGATACTGTAATTGTAAATGAAACTACAAACAATTGTTACCATTACATTATGCAGGGGCGTAGCGAGGGGGGGGGGCGGGGGGTGCGGACCGCACCGGGTGACACCATTTAGGGGGTGACACCAAGGCAAAAGATAGCAAAATATATAGAGAAAAACTTGAGGGGGGTGCAAATCGAAAGTTTGAGGGGGGGGGTGCAAATCGAAAACGTTTGTCCCCGGGAAGGGTCGCAACGCATATGGGGGGGGGGGTGACACCATTAAGTGCCGCACCGGGTGACACCCGACCTCGATACGCCACTGCATTATGTTAAGCAATATACAATTTGTAAGTTTCAAGTTTGTCATCAACTTCTAGTTCTAGTACTTTCCTACCAGTATTTTTCAATCCAAATTTAAATATTGCAATTTAATCGGTAAAAAATATTTCAAAAATTGAAAAGTATTTTTAATAAATACTACCGCTTTTGTTAAATTATTTAAAATCCTAAACAATGATAATGATAGACTAGAAGATGTAGACTATCTTAAAGAGAAATGTAGGCTACGTTAGATAGTGATTCTGTAAAAAGAAGAGTACAGTTGGCCATTGCTTATTCGAATCCGTAACAAGTTGTCGTAAACGTAGTAACAATAGAAATAACCTATCCTTAATTTGATTCTATTATTAGTAAAAAAAAAAACGTGCTGCATTTTTTGGGTACTCTTGAAATTTTAAAATCTTTAAGGCAAGAAATAGAAACAAATAGCCGCCATGTTTACATTGTAAGTGGGAACCCTGTTCATAGCAAATAATTTAGTCCGAAAATGTATATCTCTCCCTGGCTGGCGAGATTTGGAATTTAACGCGAGAGAGACCGAGACTTACTAGCCCTATTGCACGATGATCGTTACACACGACCAACGTACAATGTGGCTTGTACTTCACCGTCTAAATAGCTAACATTGCTATGCACATACATACCCTATGTTCTGA